GGGAAAAAAATTTAAAAAATAAAAAGGGGGCAATAACTAAAAAAATCATTAAAGGTAGAGTTATTTTCTTTGCACTGCACCCCTCCCTTCAATGAGGTTATCCCCCTATAAATTTTCAAGTTGAAACTCAAATACTTTAAGAGATATGCTCCGGACAAAAATGTCGGACGGAAGGTCGGACTGACGGAGACTATTTCTATATCCCCCGCCGAAAAGGCAGCGGGGGATAATAACAGGCAGAAATAAATGCCGTCATGCGTAAATTTTGCTTTTTTAGGAAAAGAAAGTCGACTTCACCATACCATGTTAAAAATGTAACAAAATAACAGAAATTTAACAGAACTATATTTCAAAACTGATGTGACGTCATGATGTGATGACGTCACAAAGGAGAATGCGCGACATTACACGGCAAAATCAGTAAAAAATACTTAAAATCACTTAAAAAGCATGAAATAAAAATATATTTCATTCGTGAAAACCAGCTACAGTCGACTCTCGTTATCTCGAAGTCATTGGGACCGTCCAAAAAATATCGAGATAACGAAATGTCGAGATAAACATATTAAGGTTAGAACAAGGCGAAACTGATTTTTACAAAAGACATGTGCATACCTTATGTCAAATAAACTATAATATCCCCATGTCTTGTTTTCATAGGCCTAGTCAATATTTAACAAAGTAACATAAGCGGATGTTTACCAGCGGAAATACGGGTGTCTGTGATAAAAACACATAGTGAGGTTTACTCAGTAATACACCAAATAGTGAATCGGATATCGGATATGGTTGATCCGGATATCCTCCCGGGTTATTTATCGGGTCTTTCTCGAGATTGTTCCACCGCTGATTGATTTGGTGGTGATGTTGTGAAACAATATTGCAACGATAGCGTTTCTATACTTTCACTTTTTCATTTACATTTAAAGGCATAATGAATTGATACAGTGTTCGAATATTTAAAAAGAATGTAAAATTCACTCATTGTGGACATAAGTCAATCAACACGCTAATAGATTAACTTTTATAAAAACAGCTAAAACTTGTTACAAACTAATCGACATTATGACACGCGCTATTAATTGAGCAATTATTGCCTAGATTGTGTTTTTCACACGTCTGAAGGGAACGGACGAAGTCGAGATAAACAAAGGATAATAGTGTGAAAATAACTGTTGGGGCTAAAATTTTACATCGAGATACTGAAAATATCGAAATAGAAATATCGAGATAAACAAATATTTCCAATATAGATAAAGAAGGAAGAAAATCGGGACTTTCAAAATTTCATCGAGATAACGAAATATCGAGAAAAGCGATGTCGAGATAACGATAGTTGACTGTATTATATTTTCACTCGTGGCTACGCCACTCGTGAAAATATTGCATCTGGTGTTCACTCAGTGAAATTATATTTCAATCTTACATGCAAAACAAACAAATATCCTCTATATCTATGTGATGGAACATGAATCAGTTGTGATTTTTACTTTTGAAGGTCAGTCACATTTTATCCAGCTGTATTTTGTTAAAACTAAAGAAATATCCGATTTGTTTTAACCTGACATGTTACATTTCATTAGATTTGCTTAAAAGTACATGTGTAACCAAAATTCTCATGTTATGGCGTTTATGAATTTTTTTAAAGTGTACTATTATAATGTATCCTATTCCAAAAAATATCATACAGAGAAAATGGTCATCGTCTGGGGCTTCAAGATGCATGAAATTCACTGCTTTCCTTTCTCTAAATTCATATACCCTTTTCTTTGAAGAACTGTCACTAGACTGCTTCAAGACCTAAAATAGAAACATTCAAATTATATAATTCAAATTTATCATATTTAGGGCTTAATATACAAACAGTGCAAGGTGCAACTAGGCTTTGTGAATCAGTCTCTAGTGATCACTGATGGTTTTGCAGAAATCAAGACTTTTGTTTGATTTGATCGCTGATTTTTTGTTACATCTCTGTCAACTTAACAGATTAAGAATCCTGGATAACTAACCAGTTGTTGTTTTTGTCATATCTCTGCTGTCGGTCAACCAGTAGCAAGATTTTCCTAGATTTATAACCAGTTATAATTATTACCACTTTCTCTGTTTTAGTGCCCAACTATTAATCCTACCTTATTTTGGAATAAGCAGTGTATGACAAACGACCATAATATACTCATTGTAAATTTAAAGATCAATTATCACAGAGATATCATGTGTCCCCAATCAAGGATCAAACCAAAGACTCTTTGAGCTATTAGCTGATGCATACAAGTTCCAGTTCTTTTTTTGGCTGTTTTTTTTGCACCAAATGAAATACATGTCCCGACCGTTCACATTCTTTAAGACTTCATTTAACTTCATTCAAATTAGTCATTGAAAAGAAACCCTAAATAAGTATATACCTCCCATTTAGAGGGTATTCAAAGCAACATTGACACATAATGACATTGACGCCAAATCAGACATCTGACGTCCAGATTTAAAAGAACCTGGGCAATGGTCCACATGATTGGCCATTTTGTATCAGGAATGGGCGAAATGTAAATAACTTTATAATATCTTATACAAATGTAGTTACTTCAAAGATTGTATTTATATTTTCAAATTATCAATGTTTAGTAAAAAGTTTGACCATTTATTAAAATTATATATCCATCATTTGACCTCTTATTATTTGGGTACTACAAGTTTATACTACAGAAAAAAAGATGAAACAATGACCAGCTTAATTTTGTTTCAACTTACAGTACTCAATACTCAAAAAACATTTAAATGTGATGCATGTTTTAAAACAACCACTGTAATTTTTTTACAAGAACATTAATTGCACATTTCATTTCATGACATTCAAACATTTAGGGCTTATCAATTGTAGATTTAGATACAGTTGGTGTTGGTATAGCTGAGTATTGAATTCGTCAATTAAAGTCAATATTAGTTCCTCCGGCTTAAAAAAAAATACATGTAATTTGTTATTGTTTGTCATATTTATGCATTTGAGGCTTTATTAAATCTTAAAATCATCTTTATATAATTATAAAACCTGTCCCTGCCCATAATTGTTTAACCTCAACAACTAAATACAGATAGGTCTCGTTTCTGTGCCAATACAAGTTTGGCCCTTTTGTTTCACATTGCCCTGATTTTCTGTCATTTTTTAGTGCTGATGGCACAATCAACTATTTCAGCAGATCTTTGGATCATATTTACAATGTAAGTCTTTATAAACTATGTGACCCTCTTCAAAATGCGTGTATTGAAGTTTCTAATGAAAAAAATTCATTTTTATTAAAAGTCTAGTTTTAACTCCTGTGACCTACTTTATGGAATTGGAACCTTAAACCATTTAAATAGAGGACCCCCTATGTATATCCTCTGAAGTTTAGCCAAAACTCACATTGGTTAAAGTGAAGATGTTTAAAGGAATTGTGGATAATGAAGAACCACTGAAGGTGGGACAGGACATGCACATTGCCATCAAAAATGCTCACCTCTGAACACTGTGTTTAGGTGAGCTAAAATGCCTCAAAGAAACCTCTTTTTGCTCTGATATGACAACCAATCACTTACCTTGGTTTTTTTCTCTTTTATATCATCATTTTTACATTTTCGCTTTCTTGGTGTTGAGAAAGTAGGATAAACCTTATTTTCTGGAAAATAATTTTTGTTAATATAATTATATATTTTATGATTTTTATCAGAGATATAGCATGACTAATATTAGCTTCCAGTGATTTTTTTTTCTCAATTTTAAAACAACCAGAGGCCTCCTGAAGGAGAAAATATGGCATGATAAATCAGGAAAGGGGGAACAATTGAAATCAAATTCCAACAACAAAAAACAAGAGCTTTAAAAATATTTCCTTTCTCAGATTCAATCTTGTTTTGTTGCAAAATATTAGCTTTCTTGAAGTGAGTAAAAAGCAAAATGGAAAATGTCTTGCTTAAATAAATTGAGCAATCACAAAATACCTCTAGCTCTTTTCTTTCTTTCTAAATCTGGAGTCCAAGTTTCATCACTGTCTGAATCAGAACATTGAATTTTATTCTTAGAAGGTAGAGTGGTATGACTGGCCTGGTTCCTTATTTTCGGTCCTTTAGCTCTATTAGAACAACCTTTCATGAAGTCGGGTTTAATTGCAGGCAAACCTAACAAAAAATATAGATACATTGTATATAAAATTATAAACCTAAATCAAAACACAAATATGCCCGTTATAATGCCACCTGATACATGTCAACACATGAAAGTTATATCCGGACCACACTTGATAGTTGACAAAGATAACGGGAACAAAATTCTGAAAAAAGAGGTAATCAAGTATAGCCAAAGGCGAATGTTGTGGCAAATGGTAGATGTCACTTCTTGTCTTTTTTTACAATACTGTAAATTTTAACCAGTTTTAAAACTAACAGATTTTGTTCAATTGATAATATATTTTTGAGGCTATATACTCGGATAATACTAAAAGATATTTAGATGTAGCATAAACATTTTTAAAAACCGTTACACGATGGGAAATATGCGCTTCAATTTGCGGCTCCGTTCTCAAGTTCCTATGGTTAAAATGAATGAGTGAAGTGTTGTGTTCAAAGTAGGAACCCAACATGATTTTAAAGAATATTTTCTTTCACCCTATGGCGGGTCCCTGCGGTAGAAGGAAATATTAAGCCCTGAAAGGTCTATAACAGTCTTACCCATATAGAGCATAATCTCATAATTCTGTGCAATGTTTTTCAGTCTTGTTTGCTGATGAATGCCCATATCATCCAGCTCTTGTTGACTGAAGAACTGAGTAAGATCAATATCTTTGTCCAGAAACTGGTTCAGATCCAGATTCTTCATGGCCTCCTATGGAAATTAAAAAACGTGATTATTTAAACATATTCAACAGTGATTCAAACTTGGTTGACCATTCGGTCACAGGGCCAATAAAAGTGACTGATGACTGGAAAAAAATAAGCACAGTATGCCCATTGGTGAGGTCAGAGGAAATTACTGCTCAGACATTATATGACCAAAGAAATTTCATTGGTAAAGGTTGAATGACTGCAGCTCTTGGCACTGTTGAATAATAAAATCTCCAATGACAGCAGCCACACTGTTTTATCAAGAAGGGCTATTCCCAATTATGACCCAATTAATGGTCAGCTTGCCTCTGATGACTGTGTCACTAAATTCAGAGCCTTTTCACTAGTTTTGGGGAAGGCGCCCTAGCCCTTTTTGTGGGGAAAAAATGCGCGATTTCCACACTTTTGGGGAAAATACCATATTTTCACACATTTCGGGGGAATATAATAATTTATTTGCATATCTTCCTCCAATCACATTTAAGGTTTACTGTAGTACTAAGCTTTCTGTCCAACAGGAGTAAAAAACATTTTTTACAGATCAATTTATTGACCCTTTATATTACCTCATATTTCCTATTTATAGTATTTTATGTTGGTCATGTGAGGGTTCTTGGTTTGATTCAGAGGGTACATTATTATCAGTTTACACTGTATTACTGGCACTGATGTGCTAGGCTCGCTATTTCCGACAGTTGGGCATGTTGTGCTACTCGGACACAAGGTCATCAATTCATCCAATTTTTAATAAACAATTACAAACGTCACTCAATCGTATTTTCTTCTTGTTCTGTGACATTGTTTACATTAGTGACATCGTATCTGTCGCCATATTGTCGTAACAAATCACATGTGCACTAAAAAATAAGGCAGCAGGGATTTCCCATGCTGTTTTTAGAAAGTTGCAAACTCAGACTGAGGCTCTGAGTTAACATCAATTGTATTAAATCAAGGTATCCCTCTATTGGGTTATTGAATTATTAGCTTTCATTGGACAAAACAATTATCTATTTTAAAACAAGAAAGTTTCTTTACAAGTTTTATTCTTCAGTTAAAGGGGAAATATTTGCCAGAAGAGGAAATTTAGACTGTTTTTTGGGGGGAAAAGGTAGTAATTTGGCTTGGGGAAGTAGCCTCATACAGGCTACAGCAAAGAAGGGGGAAAAGGCCCTGAAATTCCTGTGATAGGTCTGTCTGATGAATGTGAGCCAATATTAATTTTAAAAAATTCTATCTTTTTTATCAGAATCAGGCTAATTTAAGACTGCAGACCCATAATCCATTAAAAGCTAATGATTCAAAATAATATACAATTTTTTTATAAATTTAGATCAATATTGAAATTCAAATCTAATGCATGCACTAATTGCATAAAACAAAATACTGATGACAAAACCTAATCATGGAAAGAAATTCATATAAAGTAGTATGCTTGATTTCCAATCCTGAAACATTTATATTGTGATCAATATAAAATAATACAATTACATGCTACATTTGCTAAATAATATATGTTTAAATAATAAAAATATATGGACTTTGTTTCTTTGATGCAAATGGACACTACTAAGCTGCCAAACAAAAGAGAATAATTAATAAATTAAATGTGGATTCCAAGAAAATGACTGCAGCTCTTGAGTTACATACTTGGTAAAAAAAATCCTAACTTAAATTAATCTAGAAAATTTGCATTTTGAAAAATCATTGTGTACTTTGGTTGGCAAAATTTTATACAATTTTTACCAAACTTTTAGGAAGTTTTACAATTCTACAAAAAGATAAAATTCATTTCAATAAAAAGTTGTCTCACCAAATTTGGGCCACCTCTTGCCATTTTCTTTAACAGCTTTATCCACTTGTTTTTCTTGTCTTTAGCCTTCCAGAATTAATTAAATTTTGAAATATCGCCAGGTGCCCTAAAATTGTACATGTGACCTAGTGTTATTAAAGAAAAAAGTTTAATGAGTCTCATAGAATTTACTTGTAAATATAGGGAAAAACACTGACAATTACAAGCCACACAGGGTTGATATTAAGACAGACTTCCCGAAATACGTCGGTCCGACGGACATGTCCGATAAATTTTGATCAGGTCCGACATTTTTTTATTCCGGATCGGTCCGACTGTCCGGCTTTTATCCAAGCCGCATGTATACAAAATGGCGTCGCTAAAGGTGCCAAACCTGGGGAAAAACGAAAATCTACGTCAGAAGAGTGCGCAGAACAGCAATAAAAGGATGAAAAGAATAGACCTGAGACAAAGTTTCATGAGAAATGGAAGCAGAACCATGAATCATTGGTGTATGACTGGGAGAAGATGAAAATGCGCTGTACGCATAGTGCCGATTTTTACGGCGAAAAAATAAAAGACAAAAAGTGTCTTAGAAATACAAACACAAGTTTTTCTTTGATTTTGATCAATTTTATTTGGTCCGACAGATTTTGTTTCGGTCCGACAGATTTTCATGGTTTGTCAGACCGAATGTCTGACAGTTTTTTTCAACTTTCGGGAAGTCTGTTAAGAGCAAGCCATCATCCAAATTTACCATTTTAAACTATCTTTTTTAAACTATCCAAATAAGAAAAAACAGCACAAACATCTGGACTACAGTCCACTTACAAATTAATAAATACAAAGTCTTCAGTGATTTTTTTTGTTTGATTTTGACCCAGAAATATGGCCTCTTCACAAGGCCAACCTTAAAAAAATGTTTGTTTGCAGTAACCCGACCCAGAATTTTCAAGGTGGGTAGGTAGGTCGATTTTTTTTTTTTTTTTTTTTTTTATGAACTGTACTCCCAAATAAACATGGAATTTCAAAATGCTGGACAATATATGCTTTGATAATCTGGTAACAATTAATAAATTGATAACTGAATTCTAATTTAATAAGACCTACATTTTATTTCTTCTATTAACCTTTAACAGAACGAAAACAAAGCACAAGGCATAATTTTCTGATTCAAAAAAAATTTTTTTTATCCAGACCATGAAAAAAAAATTTGAGTAGGGGCAAATTTTGTGAGTCGGTCGCGTTACTGCAAACAAACATTTTTTTAAGGATGGCCCAATACCAAAACAACATTAAAAATTTACAAAAATGTGTAAAAAAATCACAATTGGCAGGATTGCTATTCAATACCAAACAAAATAATGACCAGACAAAAGACAATCTTGAGAATTTGATTATATATTTGAGGGAATAAAAAGAAGAAAACTTGAACTATGAACATAATTATTAAATGTATGAATAAAGTGACAACAGGTGATGATTTATTCTTGTTTATTTTTTCACAATTTGACAGATTATCGTGCTAAAAATTCACAATTTCAGGGGTAGGGTTGTTGTGAAAAAAGTTTTAAAAAATGAAAAGGGCCTTCTTTGAGTTCATTTAAAAGGGGAATAATTTGGTGGAATTTTAGACAGTGGAATTTTGAGTTATCATTGTGGCTAGGGAATATGGCCGACTGAAATCATGCAAGCGAGTTTGTAAGTGCAGTCTGCAGCAGGGCTTTTATTCATAGGTTGGGGAAGCAGCCCTGCCCTTCATTTTGGGGAAAAATTACAGGGTAAATTCAATTTTTGGGGAAACCTGCATGATTTTAAACAAATTAAAGGATTTTTCTTTGTGGAAGCCAGTGATTTTTCTCACTTAATTGGGAAGAGGCCTGAGCCTCTTGATTTTGGGAAAAATTATCGCTACAATTGCTGATTTGGGAAGTAAAAAAGCTGGTTTAAGTTCAGATTTTTTGGAAAACTGCATGATTTTAAAGAAAATTTCAATTGGGAAGAGGCCTTTTTTTGGAGTCTGTTATATTAGTAGGAAAATCACTGGAAGCAGACCTATAACGGCCCGCTATAGGAAAAACAAGAATATATAGATCTATAAGGTTCATTGCGTTTATTTTAGTGCATTTTATAAGTTTTATTTTTGAAAAAAAACGTGATTGCATGCAATTTCCCGAAAAATGGAAAAAAACCTGGAAGTCAAACTCCGCTATTTACTGGGGTTCCGGTGTTGTTACAATGAGCTAATGATTACTGAAAATAGTATTTAAGACAAATTAGATTTATAAAGATATGAGTTTAATCTTTTAGAAACAATGCATGATACCTTCGGAAAGCACAATTTTGTTTTCCCACTCATCTGTGCAGACGACAATTCATCCGAGTTAACAAACGCTGTACAATAGCTTTATTCCGGAAACCGTATTCCGACATAATAACCCTTATTACTACACTCCGTACAACAAAATGGGAACCGTTGGCTTTATTCCAAAAAATTTGAAAGGTGTGAAAAACCGACATGCTAAGCTTTCAACAAACAATGTATCTATATAAACACGGACTTTAATCGTAATGTAAATTAGTGATATAAAGCAAGCGGGTGCAAATTAGGACAGAAGAATTTTCTAGGCCATTCCTTGCGTCCTGCGCCAGATCGTAAGGTATTTCGGTATCTATCTAACTTCCATTAATGTCAAACCCTCGCGGGAACGTAGACATTACTCTAGACTAGCCACTTCAGAAACAGCTGTGAGATACAAGGGAATCCGAGCACCAGTCCCTAGCTCTTATTGAAAAGACTCTTGGTTCTTTTATATGCCCAGTGTATAGCACTGATTCATTTGAGGATAACCTGGATTTCTTACCCATACACCTCTAGAAAAGGCTAGCGTATGGAATGATTCGTATTCATCACATCACATCAAATCAAATCAAAATTTATTTATTGTCGGTATATACCTATATATATATATATAAAATGTTAAATATATATATATTTATATCAAATATATACAGTATATATTCATCCAAGAATAAAATTAGAATTAAGATATTCTACTGAAAAACTTGAGTTTCTCGACGTAATGACGAAGATTCAGAATGGCATTTTAATAACAGACATATACACTAAACCCACAGATAAACACCTGTACTTGCATAAAAATTCGTCTCATCCGGAATCGACAAAAAAATCAATACCATATGGACTTGCCCTCCGTGCTAAGCGAATATGTACTAATGAATCGACTTACAAACAACATAGAGAAAATATTAAAACTCAGTTACAGAAACGAGGCTATGAAGATCGACATATTGAAACAGAATAAAATAAAGTAGATAGTAAAAAAAGAAGTGACCTATTACATTATAATGAAGATAAAGAAAACACTGAAAGAATCCCCTTGGTACTGACATTTTCCAGAGCGCTCCCGAATGTAGGTCAAATAGTACGAAAACACCTACCTGAATTACACACCTCAGATAGAATGAAGGAAATATTCCCGAATCCACCAATTGCAGCATTTAGAAGAGATAATAACCTACAAGACATTCTCGTTCATAAGAAACACAACAAACTATTTTTTTAAACAGCCGAATTCCTGTGCTCCTTGCAGATCCAAAAAGTGTGCGATTTGTCCGTACGTTATTGAAGCAGACACATTCATTGGTGTGAACGGGGCCTCGTACAAGGTTCGAAATCAGATCACGTGCAAATCTACGAATGTTGTGTATGCAGTTTATTGTTAGCGTTGCGAACGTTATATTTATGTTGGAGAAACAGGGGATACGTTGTACCAAAGACACCTTTTTAATTTATCCAGAATACGAACGAAATACAATGATCCGTTAGCGGCGCATTTTTATACGAACGACCACACAGTAAATGATTTTTCAATAATGGGGCTGGAAAAGCTATACGGGAATGAACAATACAGAAAAACAATAGAAAATTTGTAGAAAAATAAATTAAGAACCTATAGACCGTATGGAGTTAATACAAAAGAATAACGCGGCAGACGGCAACCAACTCCATGGCGGGCGTCGTTCATTGACGTTACGTCACTTCCATTGTTTTGTTTGATATATTTGTATGTGAAATAAATGCTGCTGAAGAAGGCCGCATGGCCGAAAGCTACGGCAAATTTAAATTAGCGTTTTTGCTTATATACGGCAAGTTAGAGATTTAAATATATATATTTAACATTTCACAAAACATAAGCTATGTACATCTAGGCCTACATGAGATGTCACATGTAAGCCTTAGTACTTATACATGACATGATATACCTTTTTCGTTATCATATACAAAATATAATAAATAAACTGACTGATTAATATTTGTTGATTAATAACTGCACTAAATTTTAATTGTGATGTACTAACATTTTCTTCATATCCATATACTGTTTGTAATAATTAGTTGATTATTGAAAATTGTCATTAAGTTTAACTTCTTTATAATTCATTTATCATTATGTAAGTTAGTGTAATAATTTTACAGAAAATGGACCCCATTGGAAATAAGCTTTTAGCTTAATGGGCAATCCTAGGGTTACATAGAACATACTTATTGATTAATCGTATAATTATTTTTGTGCATTTATGTGTGTGTTTTTATTTATATTCAAGTTGATATCTGTGATAAAATTGTATGTGTATACATGTATGTCTATTCCCTGAATAAATCGATACGATACGATCACAATTGATTTTGGGGTCACTAGGTCAAAGGTCAAGATCACAGGGGGCCTTAAATGGCACAATGGTTTCCTCTCATTATCTTGAAAACTATTTATTATAAAGTCTTTATATTTCACATATTGATTAGTCATTATGCAGTGAACACAAGTTCAAAGGTCAGGGTCACAGAGGCCTTAAATGTCAGAATTGTTTCCACTCATTATCTTGAAAACTATTTATTACTAAGTCTTTACATTTTACATATTGATTTGTTATAACTAGTAGATGACCCCTATTGCGATGATTATGGTTTCTTCAGTTTAAAGGTCATGGTCACAGCTAGGGACCTTAAATGTCAGAGTGTTTCCACTCATTATCTTCGAATTTAAACTATTTGTTAAAAAGTCTTTGTTTTTTATATTTGAATTCATCACTTGTAGATAATTTTGAGGTCACTGGGTCAAAGGTCAAGGTCACAATTACCTTGAATGTAAATATGGTTTCCACTTATTCTCTTGACACCAATTAGTTACATGTACTAAGTCTTCGTGTTTCACATAATTATTTGCCACAGTTCAAGTAGATGACCTTTTTTGATTTTGGGGTCACTTGGTCACAGGAGCTTTACATGTCGGAATCGGAGGAAGGTAGTCTAGTACTGGAGTAACTCTCCAGGAACGATGGTTAGGTAACTACCCGCCTATATGACTGAAATACTGTTGGTAAAAGGCTTTAAATGAAACAAACAACATGTCGGAATGGTTTCTGCTCATTATCTTAAAAACTATCTATGACAAAATTTTCATATTTCACATGTATTGAATGGTCATAACCAGAAGGTGACCTTTATTGATTTCAGGGTCACTTAAGGTGAAAGGTCAAGACTACAGTAACCTCAAATATAAAAGTAGTTTACAATTAATAACTATTGAATGGCAAGTCTCACAAATGTCAAAGTTGATTGGTCACTTCCATGTTTCAAATTTTGGCATGTTACCAACAATATGATTCAAGGGCTAGAAAGGGGCCATATTAACAATTTAGTCAGAATCTGCGCTATTTTTCTGCACTTAAAAAATCCTGCTCATTTACATATTTTGCGCCGAATTTTGTCCCGTTATGACTTTCTGCTGGTTAATATCACATCATATTCAATGGCTCACTAATCAATAATTGTATAATATTATGCACATGACTGCCCTATCTGTTTGATAGGGGTATATTGGGAGGCATATTAGAATAATATAGTGATTTATTTTCTTAGTTAAACCATTTTCTATCATTCTAGATAGTTTTCAAATCAAAATTCAACAAAAAGTTGTTATTTATACTTTTCAGATTTTGTAAACAAAATGGCGAAAGAAGTCCCCTAAAATAAATATGAGTTTTGACTCAACCCACTTTCATATTTATATTTCATAATTTTTACAAATTTAATTTAATTTTTTACAAATATGAAATATATTTGACTGATATAGCACCATATTTCATGGGTGAAATTAAATAATATGTATAATGCTGTTGGGCCTATTTATAAAAATTTACACATGCCGATATTTATCTTTTCATACTCATTATTTTACTATACTAGTATATATCATAAAGGAGTGTCTTCCAAAATTAAATAGCTTCAATTTGTAAGACCAGGGTTAATATATTTAACAAGTAAAAATCTGGGAAAATGGATAAAACCGGACAAGTCTTTTTTTCCAAGTAAAATTGACTTTATACTATACATAGTTCTATAAGACATGTAATACCATCCTCTCACTGAATCACTGATTTCTGAGAAAAGTATAATAAATTATACACTTTGACAGTCCAATCCATAATAATTGTTCTAAATATAATCATTCAACTTGACGAAATTAGTATAATGCTGACTCATGTGACATATATATTAACACTTTAATGAAGAAATGTCATTGTTTTAAAATCTGAATTACTTTTGGTGACTCAAAACAAATTTGTTTATTTCTCTACATGGTAAAATTTTAATTTAAGATCCTCTATGTTGTAAGGATGTAACAACACTTAAAGGGACTCTACTGAGGTTTAAAAGCCTAAAAACATAACATTTGAATTTCTTATATAAATGAGCTGTGGCACTTTAAATAGAAATATATGCAAAGATAGTTAAGAAATAAACTTTGAAATAAATTGAAAATTGTATTTTTATGCTTTTCTTAGCCCGATTTGAAAGAAAAGCTTTTCATTTTGGGTCATTTTTTTACAATTTGAATAATTATTCTGGAAAAACGAAGTGCACAAATGATCTGAAATTTTGCACAAAGATTTGTGGTCTAAACCCCACATCAAATGGTACATTTATCTGGAAAAATATTTTCAGTCCCATAATGTCAAAAAACCTCAGTGGAGTCCCTTTAAGTGAAATTTTATATACATGTATGTAAATAATTATTCTTCTAAAACAATTTCCAAATATCCAATAATAATGTTAAATATGTACAGTACTGCAAATGTTCATACACATTATAAAGTAATAATTAAAATCTATGTATTCATTTCTTATTGAAGACTTTATAGAAAATAAATTTCTAATTACCTCCCTTTATTAACATGAAATATCCTCACAAATAATGCATTTTGGAACTCAATACAATATTGTTAAATCTTTGAGCATCAGATTTATGATATAAAATCATAAAAAAAATGAGTTACAGTATAAGAATAATTCATAATA